CAATCATTAGAAGTTAATCTTTTTCATGACCATCTAGACCCATTATTTCGACACTCGAATGCAATTCGATGAGCCTCTCAAAGTTTACCCCCTTGTATACATATGAACGAGAGGAAAAAAAAGTTAAAGGGCTGACAAAACAAAACACCCTAAAAGTACACTTCATGCAGAGGATGCGCGACCTGTTAGCCCCTATTGAAACAAGTGAGAAAAGTGGCTGTGAGAGGTTCCTTATATTGCGCATGACACACCATTTACACTCCCTTCCTTTTCTCTCTCTCATCTTCTCTTTTATATAGCATCGTCATTTCTCGATCTTGACACGCTTCTTTTATTTCAAAATAACTGACTTATATACCATTTTCCCCGGGTCGAAAATAAATTGAAAAAGACATTTCTAAAATACTAGAGATCTCTTTTCATATATTGAAAATTTGATTAAACGTTGAATATACATATATACTCCATGAGTAAAGGCAGCGTCACTTTCACTCTGAAAACAAGTGAGAAAGAAAATTATTGTTGCTTTGAGAATGAAGTAAAATAGAAAAAAAGCAATACACACAATTGTGTATTGTCGAATCAATTCTACTTTAGTTCCATTCAATTAAATCATTGCACAATATTTACCTCCCTGAGTTCCCCAACCAATTATGGTTTGATCGTCGAGAACTTGAAGAGTAAACTTGAAAGAATTTGTTTTCTTTAATTGAATGGAGGTCGCTCTCTTGTTTGATTTTGCTTTCGAATTTCTTTTTTCCCTTCTACTTTTTATCTTATTTGGTCTTTAGATTCCGTTTTTTTTTAAAGATAGCTTAAAAAAAAGTTTTCTTCAAGAAAAATTGCTTGCTTTCAATTAAAAATATTAATTTCAATATTTAAATTGACGCGGTTATATGTATATTATGAAAAAAAAAAATCAAAATAAATTGATAAAAAAATTTTCAATATGTGACAAATATGGATGTAAGACATTGAAGGATTGATCGTTGACGTATTGAAATGAATTAAAGATAAATGTTCACTATCATAATAAGTACCATCGCGTCTCCACTCGTGGCGCTATTCAAACATCAATCAGTCATCTCTATCTCGATGAGTATATGGCGACTCAAAGCAAGGTTGTCACCATGGGAATTATAGAAGAGGCATCCAAGCTCTCAATTATCCGTTGCCAAAGCCACTCGAAATCTTGGATCTAATACTTGAGGGGGGAAAATAAGGGCGAGTTGACGAAATGACAATTGACCTATTAAGAGGATAAATTAAATTGTAATCGAAATATTATTCAACTGTATTTTAATTATTTGTTGCAATAACAAGGCACTAATGGGGTTAAATGACGAAAGGGTGTTTCGAGTACTTCCAATCAATACTAACCATTTTTTTTTATTGTTTATACACAAACTCTTTTGCGCAGTACTGTCGACACTTTGGGGTGTTCGAGGTCGTAATTTAAAAAAAATATATATTCACCTCTAAAACTGCTGTTACGTTCGAATATATCATAATTTTGATAGTTAACAATAAATTATTATTAACTTGATATTTGAATCCAGACAAAAGTCTAATAGCTCGGAAAACTTTTCATTTTAATTCGATAGGTTAAATTGTCTTAAAATGTGTTTGAATAAATATTGTTTAATATAATTGTGAAAGAAAAGAAACTAACGAAAAGGAAATTGAAATATATAGCCTACGGGCTTTATAAAATAAGGTTAGTAACTATATATTATCCAGGCTTCACAGTCTGTCCCTTATTTCCCTAAAAGTCCCCATTTTTTAATTTTGGTCCCTAAACGTACCCTATTTTGAAAATTTCCCCTATTTTTGTCTTTTATCTTTTAATGATGAATTCACACAAAATTTAGCTTCGTAAACTATGTAACTAACACTAATTCTAATACAAAACCTTCAAAAAAATTTTCTATTTCTGACAAGAATGAATTTTTTAATATTATTTAATTATTACAAAAGTTTTAATGCAATTATCTTCATAAATAACAAAATTCTCCACAGAAATTCAATAATTTTTAGGAATTTTCATAAAAATTCTTTACAAAACTCAATTCTTTTCATAAGTTACAATATTCATCGCAAGAATTCAATTATTATTTTAAAAAGTAATGAAATTCTTCGAAGAAATTCAATTATTTTTAAAAATTTTAACGATTATCTCGTCAAGAATTCAATTATCTTTAGAAATAGCAAAATTTTTCGCCAAAAAGTCAATTATTTTTAAAAATTTATAAAAATCTTTGCAACATTTCAATTATTTTCAAAGTTTTTTGCAATTTAGTAATTTTCAATACTTACTATGTTCATAGAATTTATCAACATATTTAATTATATAAAAAAATTGTTGAAACAATTCCACGAAAATATTCAATTATCTTCATAAATAATAAAATTTCATTTACGAATTCAATTAATTTTATCGCTGAATTTCAAATATTTTTAATACAATTTTAAATAAATTCCTTGAAAAATGCAATTATTATTAAAAAATTTTATTAAAACTTAAGGAAAGTATTCAATTTTAAGAAACATTCAATTATTCAATAAAACAATAAAATTCGTTGCAATAATTCAAATATTTTCATAAATAACATTTAATTCATCGCAGAAAATCAATTATTTTACAAAAAATTTCAAGTAATTTTGCAAAAGAATTCAATTAGCTTGATAAACAACAAAATCGCATAAATTCTTCCCATAAAATCAATTATTCTAAGGAATTTTATAATAAAATTCCTTTCCAAAATTCAATTATTTTGATAAATATCAAAAATTAATCACAGGAATTCAATTCTTTTGAAAAATAATAGAATACTTTGCAAAAATTAATTTATTTTTAAAATTTTTCAAAAATTCTCGTCAAGAATTAAATTATCTTTATAAATAGATAGGAAAATTATTCTCAAGAATTAAATTATTGTCAAAATTTTTTTAAAATTCTTCTCAAGAAGTCAATTATTTTCAAAAATTTTAATAAAATTCTTCTTATGAATTAAATTGTTTTTAAAAATTATTATTTAAATTCTTCTCAAGAATTCAATTATTTTTATAAAATTTAATAAAATTCTTCAAAAAGTTTTCAATTATTTTCAAAAATTGTTATAAAATTCTTTAATATAATAAATTTCATTAAAATTTTAATTAAGTTCCTCAAAAGAAATTAAATATTTTAAAAACTTGTTTATATAATTCTTCGTAAAAATTAAATTTTAAGAAACATTTAATATTATTTATTTTTGCATTTAAATAATTCATTTCTCGTAGAATTAAATTATTATTTTTCGTACTTTTAACTCACAATTATGTAGAATTAATTTTTTTGAAAAAGTTTAATTGAATAATAATTTATGTTATTGATTTAAAGTAGAATTTTAGTTAAAAATTATAGAAAATGTTGATTGAATTGAAATGATACAAATAATTTTGAAGAAATTACAGTAAGTCGAGTCGAAGACTCGGAGTGATCCATTTCTTTATGTTTTATAATAATATTCTTATGAGTTGTTCAATTTGAATTTGATTTTTTTGAACACCTTAATTCCAATAAAAAAAATGATTAAATATTTATTTTAAATAAAACTATTAATGTTTTTGAATAATTTTACTTTTGAAGTAATTTGTCAATAAATTTAATAGAACATTTTTTTTAATATCTAATAATTTTTAGAGTGAATTAGAATATTTTTTAGGGTCAGGGAAAAAGTCAAAGTTGTGTTTGGAAATCAGGGAAAAATGAAGTTAAATTTTTGTGGCAACCCTGTATAAATAAATTATATTTTTATCTTTATCTAACCAATTTTTATGGTCCCTTAAAAGTCCCCTATTTTTTAATTTTCAGTCCTCTATTTCCCCTAAAATTTCTTTTTAGGGGCATTGTGAAGCCTGATTATCAAAAACGCGTTTTTCCCTAAGAACAATTAAAATATTGTCATCATGAAACTCGGATTTACAAGTTTCTATTTTTGACGAAAAGAAAGAGTAAAAAGAAGGTAAAAATTAAATTGTATTTTAGATATTTCCAATGTAGTTATAGAACCGTCGGAAATTATTGGTACGGCTCCACGCACATAGCTCAAAAACATACCAATCTTTAAATCACGATTTTTCTGTAAATAACAAATGTCAAAAAATTAAACAAATTCACCATTCGAAAGCTTATAATATTCTACGTTAAATGATAAACATTTGAAAATTTTAATAAATTACACAAAAATTTTAGCAATCAATAAATTATTTTAAAAAATTGAAAAATGAAAATTTTCTTTACAATTTTCTTAACTTTTGCATAATTTTTAAAAATTGTATACAAAATTTAAAACTTATATAGATGTCCTCGTTTGAGTTTCAACTTTAATTTAAGACCAAAAAAGGTAAAAATTCTTATTCGGTTCGCGAGATATCATTATAAATGTCAGATCATATTTTTGGACAAATGCATTGAAATAATCAATTTTGTACGGTTTTTGACTAAAAATTCTTCTGACATTTATAATGATATCTCGCGAACCGAATAAGATTTTTTACCTTTTTTGGTCTTAAATTAAAGATGAGACATGAAGGATGACAGTTATATAAGTTTTTAATTTTGACAACAATTTTTAAAAATATGCAGGAGTTTAAAAAATTGTAAAAAGAATTTTCTTTTTAAAATTTTTTTTTAAATTTGTCGATGGCTAAAATCTTTGTGTTATTTATTCAAATTTTCAAATGTATATCCTTTAACTTAGAATATTATAATCTTTCAAATGGTATGTTTGTTAATTTTCTAAAATTTGGTTTTACAGAAAAATCGTGATTTACAGATTCTCCAGAAGAAATATTAATTGTTGTTGAACATTTTTGGTCGGTTGATAATTAAATACCTCTAATTAAATAAATTCATGATTTACATAATATAAATTACTATCAATCAAGATAAATTAAATAAATAATCTTTTATATTGTATTCGAAATTAGAATTTTTTGAATTTAAAATATTGCAGATGCATCAGTGATGGACGGAGAGGGAACTTTAGGCCGTGGGCACACAAATGGGGGCCGTGGACTGCGCCGTCAACGGTCCCTAGAATGGCGAGAAAGGCGCGGTTATGGGGGCAATGCCCACTCAAGTAGTGATGACGAGGACAACACTCGTCATGGCGTTGGGCCCACTTCTTCAGCCACCAGAGGCGCTCGAAGTCCTGGCCAAGTTCTCGCTTCGCTATTGGCCCAGCAATATAACGGTGAGTTATAATTTAAATTTCCCTTTAATTCTAATCTAACTCGCATTTCCTTAGTACATCATGAAGAAATTTTTTATCCACTATGGAAAAAGAACCTAGAAACAGACATTCAATAGTTATACATTTTTTTCCCCCTGAAAATATTGTGTATCTAACAAAATTCCATTAGCGTGCTTTTTCAAGACTCAACTCGAGTATGATCGTAAAAGTCCTTTAAAAATTTCATGTCTTCGTCCTTTATTCAAACAGATGGATAAGATAAGCTCCACCGGATGGAGCTTATAAGAAACGAAGCGAAGGAAACTTTTCAATTTCTCTTATTTTTAGGAACTGTCAAGACATTCGATAATCACTCGTGACAGCACATTGGACGTCGATATATCGACGATCATAAGAGAGCACACACGAGGCAAAACTTTCATTTCCTTCTTTTCTTTTTTTTCTTAAGCTTTGAACTGGCTAGTTCGAAATCGGACTCCTTCTTCTGACGAACTCCCTTCCCTCTCGTCTCCTTCGGCAATAACCGAGAGTTTCCCGCGAAGCTCGTCCATCATATTCCATCAAACGCTTAGCAACTTTCTCTCTCCCTCATACCATTCTATTACCCCCCTTGAAATCCCTTCATACAGAAGGTGCTAACTAAAGCACTAGATATTTCTAAATTAGTTTTGCCGCTCCTCATATTGCTTTGGCATGTGACGAAACACTTGATTGAGCTTTTCCTGATCACTTTGCTTTTGCAGTTTTTATTTTCTTTCAAAAACTTAACAACATTAAATAGCAATTAGTTTGTTTCCAATTGGGTTCAAATATTTATCAGACATTTGCTTTTCAGCAGAGTGTAACAAAAGTTTCCTTCGGTTTGCAAAAACATTTATGTACCACTTAAGAATGAATAATTTTCCAAGAATTATCATGAAGAAGTTACACTAGGACCAACTACTGATAATTTTGATTCGATTGCTTATATGAAAAGTTAGCCTAAGCTTTAGGTGACATTATTCAAAGTGGTATCGGATTAATTATGCTAATCAAGAATGGTCATGGAGAAGTTACACTGGTTAACTACTTATGATTTTGATTCGATTGCCTATGAAAAGTTAGCCTAAGCTTTAGGTGACTTTTGATTCAAAGTGGTATTTTATATTTAGCAAAAGTTTTAGAAAAACATTAATCATTAACCCAGTATTCAACCACAAAACTCTTAACTTTAAAAAACAATTTGTTCCACATATCTATTTGTATAGAACTAGTTATTCACATCTTTACTAAGAAATATTTGTTTTGTTACATTTAAAACCATTTCCAATTATCAAAAGCAAAAATAGTGGTTCATAACTGAAAAAAAAATCTCGAGTAATATCAGTTTCATATAGATATGATTAACTCTGCTTCTATGTAGTATATGTCTGGTTCTTCGTTGCGGAGAAATGAATCGACTCATGACAGGAGAACTCTACCCCGTGTCTGTCTGAGTTTGTTCCACTTCAGTGGGCACCGATCATCCCACTCAAAATCCCTAGCAATTCCCGTTCCCTCACTGTTTCTTTCTCGTCCCCAAGTTCCACTTGCCGATTTCCATCCCAATTTCAACTCCCTCAGTTTCAAACTGGCATGTGAACAGTGTCGCCATATCCAAAATCGAAACAAGACCAGACTGTATATATTTCCACACCTCACCGAAAACCTTAGTATCTATTTCATGAGAATTTCAACGTCTCCGAGAATAATCAAGGTCGTCTGTTAAACTGTCGCCAACTTCCATTGGACAATTAGTCTAAGTAACATATCCTCCAAAACACTTCAAAGTCTAATGAGAAATTCCTTTGGTAAAAAGTATTTTAAAGAAAAAATATTGTTTCATCACCCAAGTTTATTGATCCTAAAATTTTTCACCCATCAAAATTAGTATGAAAGTTAAATTCAATCGATGACAAATGACGTTAACAAAATGTTTCATTAGGTGAATTGGCATACGTGGTAAATAAAATTTTATTCGTTAACAATGCATCATCATCGTGAGATTGTGAATTCGTCCCATTTAGAGAACTATAAACGTCCGTGGTAAATACGAATAATGTGAAATAATGATGTTGATTCTCTGTCGACGTGAAAATTATCAAAAGATACATAGGAAACGTTGTCACATGACGATGAATTATAGCTTTCAGGAAAATTCAAAACTGAAAGTTTATGTTATTCCAAATTTACAATATTCCAGACAAATGCATTAATGATTCGCATAATGCAGTTTAGAATTTAGCAAAAGGTTTACTCAATAATTTACTAGTTTTTAGAAATGAGAAACTACAGTGGTATAACAATAGTTCAACGAAACCGAGGAATACCTTGTGTATAATCTTTTCATAGCTGAGTGACATAATCTATTCTTTAAAGAATGAGAGCAACGAAATGAAAATAAAGTTCATACGGGTTTATTCATTTCTATATAGTTGATGAAAAAGATATTTTCATTCAGTGAGACATTTTTAAATTATTTTGAACAATTTTTTATAATAAAAACTTTTTTTTTTTTTACTGGGAAAGTATCAACGTATTACCAAGAGAAGGTTTTGTCAACGTCAGTCTTCAAGCTGAAGAAGAACATCTTTGCTCTCATTGCGAATTTACTTTCGTGTCGACTTGTCTCGGAGAAATCTCTAGAATCCACCCTTAAGCAGGTACACTGATCCGATGCTCTTTCGAGGACGGTAGGTTAGTCGAAAATACGGACTGACACAAGGAAAGCCAAGGGAAGAGGGTGGACTTTCTCAATCCCCCAAACTCCCTCGAATCAGAAGCTTTGAGTGCGTTCCACGCTAACGTCACTTAGTGTGGAACTTGGCAACTCTTAGCACTTACCACTTTCCAGAATCCGCACAAAATCCCTTAAAGCAACTCACAAGATCTAATTTCTCAAGTATCGCTGATCTAAATTACAATAACGATTATCATCCGCTTTGATGACGACAATTCCACTTTATAAATTATGACCCAGTATTTAACCTCTGTCACATTTTGAACTGAAATAAAAGTTAATTTTAACTTAAATGATTAGTTAATAAATTTTATTTTTCTGTGATGGTTTTATGCTGCGATATTTTGCAACCTTTGAAAAAGCATATATTCGGATGTGAATCTCAAATATTCGAGAGCACCAGGAAGACAAAAACTTTTATCTGTGGTGTAAGGTCGAAGAAATGACGTTGTCTAGCGAAAACAGAGAATGCAATAGATTTCTCTCGAATTGTTTTCGGGCCAGTCAAAGTGAAAGGTCGGGAGTTCAAGTGTCGATGTAAATTAGATAAAACACCCCTTAGCCTAAGAGTGACCGAATTATTGATTTCTCGTTGAATTCGAAGGTAATGCAGTCCTTAGAAAAATAGAAATGTGCCTCGCAGTAGAAATTATCTCCTTGAATGAACTTGACTATGACGAGACTTGAAGAATGCACTTTGTACTTGAAAAGATTTTTTGGACTGGAGTCGAAGAGCAAATTCGATGACAGTAGTCTGAAAATTTATTTCTGTGTAATATCTCCTTAAAATATGTTGATAGTTTGATTCTACTTACAGTGGGACAAACAGTGAATGAATTACAAATTATCATTCATCCACTTGTATAATAATTTGTATCGAATTAATAATAATTTTTATCGTTAACAGTATACTTTGAATATGTTATGAAGGAGATATTATACTGCCATATCTCGGTTGAACTGTTGCATTAATCCGCACTATTAAATTAGGATTCCACTTAAACCCAAGATGGCATGTCGCGTTATGCGAAGTACAGGGCCTACATAACCATAAGTGTATATATACATAGTTCTGTGGGTCTGTCTCTGGTGCAACGGGTGCCCTCAGCCACAACATGGTCCAAATGTGAGGGTTCATGGAACTCACGCACACAAATTCTAGTGTGCACACTCACATTCAATATACCAAGATACACTCCTCGAGTGGTAAACCTGGTATCAATGTGCACGCCACCCGCTCATATTGCTAATAAATTTTGCCGACAGATTCTATACGACCTATCTTACACGCGCGCACAATGTCTTCCTATAACACCACGTCGGCAAATTGCTAACGCAACCCAAGTGAAACAGTATAAAGCCTGTCGGGTATTCCTCACTGGAGTAAGCGATTTTACTTCAAGTGTATTGAAACTCAAATCGTCGACTTATGAACACTATTGGAGATAGGAGAAGACGGCAAATTTTCCCTCCAACTTGGCAAAAGTTGATGTGTTTTGGTAAGAATCAAAATTATTATTACTTGGTCTTTTAATTTTGTTGGTGTCCTTAGAAAAAAATTTGTTTATAATGATATGTTGAAGTTTTCTGATGCTTCAACGTACGTTCTGATAAAAAAGAGTCCCATTAAAGAACTCCTAAGAGACACATAAGGGATTCTTAAATACCTAAACGAAAATTAATTTCTTGATTAAAAAATATCTCAATCAACGGACCTTCACTGACACTGTTGGCTAAAGCGTATGGACTTCCAAAAATACTTAAGAAACATGTTTCACTTCGTCCAGTCATCATTAATAAATAGACCCACTCAGCTTCTTGATAAAATCTCTTGTGAATTAGTCAAATTAGAGTATAGATCGACGTATACGCTCTATAACCATAATTGTAAAATTGCATTCTGCGACATTATCGATTTCACTAAATATGTATTTAACAACACATATTACTCTCTTGATGGAAAGTTTTACAGACGTATGGTTTTGTCTGACTTCTTCAGAAAAACTTATTCATTATTTTTCAAATCATCCAATCCAACAAAAAAAGTATATTGTGTACAATTTAATTGACCGAGTGATTTGTTTACAATTTTCTAGCTCATTCATTAAATAGTTACTTTTATTTTAATACTATTATATTATATTATTATTTTTTTCTTAAGATTCTTCGAATCCTTATGTTTAGACCTATTGGTGAATGCTCCACAATGTCATTTAATTATACGCTATTAAGTTACACTAAT